AATGAAACGCCCAGAAATCAGTTAAATTTCGCTTTGACTGAGCCCGACGATTCATAGCTGTCAGACGCTGATTAGTACATTCAGCAATTCGAATGCACAAACTGTAAGGAAATATCGTGGAAAACACTTTGAACTCGGTGCAATCGTGAGCAAAATCAAAGAGGATTTTGCAGTCTCTCTCAGTTGGGATATCATACTTTGGATTAAAGTTCTGAGAATCGTCCGCAGCAACATTTACCCACTGGGCAACTGGCAGTATATCGTCGTTTATTTTTGTGGGCTTATCCGCCCCATTGATGTTATCGTCAGTTTCTGATGCAGATTCATTGCTTTCGGAACCCTCAAGCAAATAATCACTCCCAGAGTCCTCAAAATCGACGTCCGAGTCTGACTCTTCAGACATACGACGCTCAATATCCTCCTGAGTTAGATACCTTTTCGTCATCTAAAAAGCATATTGGGACAAGTAATCCCACGTAAAAAACTTATTGGGATAATATGTCCCAATTTTATAAAATGAACTCTAACTTACCCTATAATAGCAAAAAAACACCACTAAACAATTAAATGTAACAAACCGAACACTTTTTTGTGCAAACAAATGCAAATTTTGTTGATTACGCTTTTATTTCGACCGATTTCAGCAAATTAGTGAAGACAACTGATCAAATTTCACGTATATTGCGAAATACTTTGTCATGTGGCGTCTATGCGCTTAAATTTACCGCTATCTTTTTGTTTACAATGAAAAATATACACTTAAATCTGTTTGTGGGACTAATTATATAGGCAATCGCATGCGCAGTAAAGAAAATACGAAAGTTAGAAATTTGGTGGGATGTATTATCCCAGTAGTCCCGAAAGGGTTAAATTGACTTAGCTTGTCATGCTGATTATTTATAGATATATATATTTTTTATGGGGTATGCGACGTTTCCTTCTGGGTGTCCTTTTAATAAGATTTGCAAATATAAAATATATACTCTCTACTCGGTGTTTTTCAGCTCTGTAAGAAATTAAACGAGCAATGTACACAATTTGACATGCAATTAGAGTGATTTCTCTCGTCTCTGGAGGAAGCTGCAATATGGAGCAATAGATCTGCTGGTCTACCTCAATCGAAAAAAAAAAACAAAGTTTCTAAAAAGAAAATAAAAGCATATAGTCACATTAAAATACTCAGTTTGACAAAATCGATCATAAAGCTCAATAAAAATATCCAAAATCAGACTTACACCTCCCACCTAATACCATTTTTATAAAAATCCGATATTTTACGAGTAACCTATGATTAAACAAGTAAGGAAGGGCTAACTTCGCACATTCTTTACTCATGTAACTTGTAAAAGTCAAAACCCACGAAATTCTTATAGGTTATGGCAAAACTTTATAATAAACAAGTAATAAAGTTCGAGTGCAACCAAACATTTAATACTCTGCATGGGTCACAACCAGCTATATACCTTTATTTGTTAGCAGTATTGGAAACTTTAGCGAAAGGGTTCAACTTCATTGTTGGATGAAATCGATTGAATTGCAATCTAAATGAAAATTATATTAAATCATCCCGAATCGATATCAAATATTAATTAAATGCTCTTTGGTTTCACTAAGGTACCTAACAATCATCTCCATATATGGAATAAAGTTTGCTGGATGTACGAAAATTCCATTATTAATTATATAGGGGCTAGTTAAAGTTTCACCTGATTTTATCAATTTTAGGCACTAAATATAATTCACATCTTGGCTGATATATGCGGATGAATTCACAAGAAAATTCGAAAATCTTTATATTAGGTACATATGTATGTAAAAGTTTGTAAGATTCAACACATTTTGACACATAGATATACTATAATTATAATCAGGAAGGGATGCTTTCCACATTTCTAAATTATATATCTTGTTGTCTTTAGTTTTCTGCTTCTGTGTAATTGAATTGTAGTTTTTTGAAGTAAACATAACCATTTTTTTGGTTATAAAAAAAAATTAAAAAAAAAACTTTCAGATATTAGAATCACCTTAAAAACAAAGTGATTCTAATTTATGAACGTCGACTATAATATGATAAAAATATATATGTATGTATATCGGATATGGCACATAACATAAAACAAGCAATATATCTAAAATAACCCACTTTGTAAATAATTTGTTCCCTACCTTATATTGAGTCAATATGTTTACATAATTTAAATAAATAAATCTTATGTTTTGATACGAAAGGCAAATTTGAATCAAGGGTCTTACGAGTTGCTACCTCATGGCTATCTGAGTAAAAGATGTCTAAAGATCGGTTCTGACGAACACAAACAGTGCCGAACAATTATGAAGACTTTTGCAGGCAGTTGGCGTTACTCGAAAGTATGTTAAAACAAGTAAGGAAGGGCTAAGTTCGGGTGTCACCGAACATTTCATACTCTCGCATGATAAAGTGATAATCGAGATTTCAGGCGTGGTTGTG